GGTCCTTTCCGCAACGGTGAAATAGGTTACTCTTCGGACGAAAGCAAACGTCCGCTCGATGTCCAACTCGCCTGCAGTTGTAGCAGGTCTCGACTAAATTTCTACACGGGATCACAGCGTACAGACAGTTCCAGTAAGTAACCTGTCGGGGTATGCGTTTTCGCCCGAACGTAATCTGAATCGCCTTTGACTTTCCCAGAGATCTCGCGTCCAGAATGTCCATGCCTTCATTCTTCTTCAGGAATCCTGCCCGAACTTCTTCCACTGGGCATCCATCATAAGCATTGTAAATCACTCCCCGCACGGAGTTTTCCAACGGCGCCATGAACGCCGATAATTGATTGATATGTGGGGTTTAACATCCCAAAACCACCATATGATTATGAGAGACGCCGTAGTGGAGGGCTCCGGAAATTTCGACCACCTGGGGTTCTTTAACGTGCACCCAAATCTGAGCACATGGGCCTACAACACTTCCGCCTCCATCGGAAATGCAGCCGCCGCAGCCGGGATTCGATCCCGCGACCTGCGGGTCAGCAGCAGAGTACCTTAGCCACTAGACCACCGCGGCGGGGCACCATGAACGCCGAAACCGGCAGAAAACGACCACCCAGCTTGAGCGTCTTCACAGTCGCATATGCCCCACTGCGATTTATGCATGGTGTGCTCACCGTCAACGTGTTGTTTGTGCCATTAACCCGCACAATGTCTTCTTCCGCGGCAATCCCACTCTTTAGACGCGCTGCTGCTCTCGGTGCACATCCGAGTTCTCTCGCTGTCACAACACTCAAGTCCCAGTTCTGGGGCCTGTACACAACCTTGAAATCCATGGCCGGCAACTTGAGAAACGGTCCGCAATTCTTCCACACCGGCGCTTTCCCCCGCTTGACTTGCTGCGCTCCCTGCGTCTTGCGCCCGTCGCTGCCGGCCTGCGTCTTGCAAGGCTTACTCTTGGCATTGTCGCCATGCTGAGTCTTCTTAAATCGGTCGTGTGCTTTCAGCACTGGAGCCCACTCTCCCGATTCAAAATCTTCGTGCGTTATAGTCTCCCCTTCGACGTAGTATTCCATCGTCCGCCCAACAAAGCCCACGGTCACCAGGCGCAAGCCAGACGCCCGGCGACGCGGCCTAGGAGATAGGCCTAGCCTTGCCACCGTGGGGTTGATAGGAAAATCTCGGAAACTCCGAAAACGGGGACTAACTTGCCTAAACGAGTGGTGTCCGTAGGTACAGGGCAACCTCTTGCAGACGAGCCCACTGATAGCAAGTCCAGAACAAAGCGCGTCTGCCGATAGTCGGTCACCGGGCCGGAGCTCATGCGAAACACGTCCGCACAGCGTCTCACTCCAGCCGCGTCGCTAGCTGCCGAAGTAGTGTAGCCTGATCAAGCAACCCTGTATTAATGTGGGTTAGATGTATAAATACAGCAATGTAACACCAGTTATCCACAGTCTTGTCTTTAGTTTATTGATGGCAATAAAGATGCATTGCCGATACCACCCTGTGCCTATGCTGCCACTTCCTCCAACCCACGCTATTCAACAGCTGACTTTAGCAAGCTTTTCTTTCCTCCTCCCTTCCTACCTGTTTCGCCAATGTAATTATGTGACTTCCCAACTCCCAAATCGTACTTGTAAATGATCCTGCACTGTTCATGCACAGGTGTGCATTCTTTGGGTTTGGGAAACGCATGTTAGAATGTATAACGGGGCTTAAGAATTATTCGTTTGCCCTGCAGAAGCAGAGCTCTCTGTACAGAGTCTGATACAACTTGAACATAATGGATAGACTCAATGGACATCAGCTGCACTCATTACACATTATTCGTTCATATTCATACGCTTTCATTAAATAGTGTCATTTTGTATGTAATCAATCACTTATTTTACAGGGTAACAAAAAAGTAACCACGTTACTTTTTTATGATAACTATAATTGTAAAAGTTATGTTTGCAAACTTAGTAATTACATCAGAGTTACCTTCGTGGCTTAGGTAACTGTAACACTGTTGCTTTTTACTCCGTAGGGTTGAGAGCTGGGCTAGTTGGTGAGACATCATTTAACCATATGGTGTAGTAGCGCAATTTTCACGGGGACGAAGAGGACAAGAACACACGACACTCGCTACACTCGCAACTAATTTTATTTCAGAAGCAGCACATCATATATAACCCATAACCCTAGCGACACAGAAAAGAACTACGAACATTGAATCATTGCCAACAGAAGTTTTTGCGCAGACTCAAGCTATAGTACACGGCAGTTACGCTTACACTTTAAGATGACATAACTAAAAACAGACCTGGGTAACATCAAATAAAAAAAAACAAAAAAATTTTGCGGAAATTCACACGTGTTTGAAACAAAATTTTGAAACAACAAAAAGGAGAGTATGACACATGCAAACACTGATCTCAATTAAGTCCTTCGAGGTAGCTGGCTTCTCGGTCACTTAACGGAACCGATGACTGACTAATGCAAACTTCTTTTCTTTTTTTTAATGTGGAAGGCTTCGACAATTTCTCTGGTTAGTTGGTTTCCATGACGGAAGACTACGGTCGTGTCACTGAACAGTGGTGAGCAGCCACACTGGGAACAGTGTCTCTTTATGTGAGAATGAATGTCAGTTCTTAATGATCGCTTGTGTTCTAAAAGTCGGGTGTTCAAACATCGACCCGTCTGGCCGATGTATACCTTTCCACACGTTAGCGGCAAGCAATACACGACTGATAGGCTACACTTAACAAACTTTGTTGTGTGATTTACCGTACAACTACCAGCATTAGTGTTTACTGCTATGGAAACTTTACGGTCTAGTTTGGAACATATTTTACTAAGCTTGTTGGGTGCCGAAAAAACTAGTTCTAGGCCATAGCGATTACCTACGTTTTTTAAGTTATGGGCAATCTTGTGCGCATATGGAACTGACACTATGTTCTTCCTGTTTTCATTACTTGTCATTTTTTTATGAAAGTTGTTGCGTACGTGACTAATCAGCTTGTTAGCCGATCTACACAACACGTGTTTTTCGTACCCAGCATTTTTTAGCCTGATAATTTGTTGGTTGAAGCTTTCGCTAATCTTTTCTGGACATGACTTCGTTAAGGCTGCTCTCAAACATGAAAAGGCTATGCCACTCTTTACAACTTTAGAATGTGCCGATCGGTAGCTAAGTAAGAGTTTTTCCGTTCGCGGATTGTATGACCAGCATACATGTTCTGCTGTGGCATCTAACTCAATATCCAAAAACTGCAGTTTGTGATTGACTGGTAATTCATGAGTAAATTCAAGCCCTCTACTATTTTTTTTGAAGACTTTCAAAACTTCTGCGACCTTTTTATCCCGACCATCCGATTCAATAAAAACCAAAAAGTCATCTACAAACCAAAACACTTTGAGTGCAAGCCCTTTAAGGTTTAAATCTATTGCCTTGTCCATTTTTGCTAAATAAATTGTGCTTAAAACCGGGGCTACTTTCGAGCCTATTGTGATACCGGATTTTTGTCGGTGCATAGCCTTGTTCCACATAACAAATGTCGACCTAAGGTAAAAGGTTAACAATTCAAGAAAGGCATCCACCGATACACCACACTTATTCACAAACTCTAACTCATCGTTTTCTTCTGTTATACATTGCTTTACACTTGACAATAGCGGACCATGCGGGATGTTGTAATACATATCTTGTATGTCTACGCTGAAGAAATAGCATTTTCCTGGGTTATGTGTGCTTAAATACGAAACTAACACCTCAGATTAGCGAAAGCTTCAACCAGAAAAGATTAGCGAAAGCTTCAACCAACAAATTATCAGGCTAAAAAATGCTGGGTACGAAAAACACGTGTTGTGTAGATCGGCTAACAAGCTGATTAGTCACGTACGCAACAACTTTCATAAAAAAATGACAAGTAATGAAAACAGGAAGAACATAGTGTCAGTTCCATATGCGCACAAGATTGCCCATAACTTAAAAAACGTAGGTAATCGCTATGGCCTAGAACTAGTTTTTTCGGCACCCAACAAGCTTAGTAAAATATGTTCCAAACTAGACCGTAAAGTTTCCATAGCAGTAAACACTAATGCTGGTAGTTGTACGGTAAATCACACAACAAAGTTTGTTAAGTGTAGCCTATCAGTCGTGTATTGCTTGCCGCTAACGTGTGGAAAGGTATACATCGGCCAGACGGGTCAATGTTTGAACACCCGACTTTTAGAACACAAGCGATCATTAAGAACTGACATTCATTCTCACATAAAGAGACACTGTTCCCAGTGTGGCTGCTCACCACTGTTCAGTGACACGACCGTAGTCTTCCGTCATGGAAACCAACTAACCAGAGAAATTGTCGAAGCCTTCCACATTAAAAAAAAGAAAAGAAGGATGCATTAGTCAGTCATCGGTTCCGTTAAGTGACCGAGAAGCCAGCTACCTCGAAGGACTTAATTGAGATCAGTGTTTGCATGTGTCATACTCTCCTTTTTGTTGTTTCAAAATTTTGTTTCAAACACGTGTGAATTTCCGCAAAATTTTTTTGTTTTTTTTTATTTGATGTTACCCAGGGCTGTTTTTAGTTATGTCATCTTAAAGTGTAAGCGTAACTGCCGTGTACTATAGCTTGAGTCTGCGCAAAAACTTCTGTTGGCAATGATTCAATGTTCGTAGTTCTTTTCTGTGTCGCTAGGGTTATGGGTTATATATGATGTGCTGCTTCTGAAATAAAATTAGTTGCGAGTGTAGCGAGTGTCGTGTGTTCTTGTCCTCTTCGTCCCCGTGAAAATTGCGCTACTACACCATATGGTTAAATGTTGCTTTTTACTGATAATGTGCCGTGACTACGGAAAGCACTGCTATGGCCTCGGTGTCAACATTGGTAAACTCTGGAATTTTTAGTTATCACACTGCATGTTCTCAAAAATGTAACACCAGACAATAATGAAAAATACAGGATGCAATTATGCTGATGCAAACGAGATGCATTCCAAAAAAAAGAAACTGTCACCTGTGTCTGGCAACACAATCTTCTTTAGTAGGTCAAGATTGCTGAGGAAGATGTTGGTGTCACTGACCACGTAAGTACCCTGCATGGATCCAGAAGAGTTTAAATACTATACTGCGAGGCAAACCAAATCTGACACATCTGCCAAATGAGTGAGCAAAAGTGGCGATATCTGTTAGTTCTATCAACATTGTGTTTATCAATAAAAACGAGCACTCAAGTTTCAACTTCTTTCCATCTATATGGAAACATCTACAAATGCAAGCATCTAAAAATATATTTTAAAAAAGCCTAGCACCTTGAAAAAATGAACAGACCCAAACCTTGATATAACGAACATGGTTATAATGAACTATTAGCTATTACAAAGTAAATGAACAATATCCTTGCAGTAGATACAGTGTTATGAATATACCTTTAAAATGAATTTTCAGATACAACAAACTTACTTTTGTGTAAGATGCAACTTTGTTACAATGAGGTTTCAGTGTATGTGCATGACAGTTTTCTAGAGTTATAATAACAGTAGAAAGGAGGCCGCAGATTCTGCAATAAAAACTCTCAAAAAAACAAGGATGAGACAAGATAGAAAAGAAGTGAGAATTCAGAATTTCCCGGTGATGATATATTGTAATGAAGAGGAAGTACTCCGGCGCAGAGGCAGCAGCATAGAGCGTGCAGCAGCGGCTCGAGCTCGTTAATTGCGGCTGGTGCATCGCCTTCCAAGCATCAACCTTTCTGCTCAATAAATCTCCTTTATAATTGGTGGAGCCGTGCTAGGTGCCGTCCCCTATACCTTCCCACTACCATCCTGGAACTCCGTTCTCGACGGCTACCTTCTGCTATGCCGGATGCCGATCAGCAGACGCTTCCATTTCCTCCGGCCACCTGTTCAGGCAGTGTTCCTCAGCGGGAGCCTCCAATCTTCAGCGGAACAGATGACAATGACGCTGAAGATCGGCTCTCAACTTTCGAACGGGTGAGCGCTTTAAACAGACGGACAGGCGCAGACAAGTTGACACGCGTGTCGTTCTACCTCGCGGGTGTAGCCAGCCTTTAGCTTTTGCTCAATAATTCTCTTTTATAATATGTTGTTCAATGGCGCGAAAGCCAGTCATGGCTAAAAAGTTCGAGAATGTCAAAAATAATTATGTTCAGCTGTATAAGGGCCTATAATTCTGTACACTACAGGAGTGCACAACATATAAATATCACGAGAATGACGTCAAATGTCTGTATTAAGAATGGGTGGCAAGTGGTCGTGGTAATAAAACTATGATGTTAGCACAAATGCCTCGCCGATGCTTTTGAGTCCAAAGGCCACAAGCTTTCTGCAATGTAGCTATCGCAGCAGCAATCTCTGTTCAAAAGTTGTACTACAAATTTGTGATGTGGTGATGTACGTGCAAAAAATCTCTACGCTGCAGTCTGCAACACCTCTCTTCTCCAAGGCTCCAGATTCCGTGGTGAGTGTGGAAGAAGAAAAAAAAGGGAGAGCCGCATGCATGGTGAAGGAGGATGGGACGAGCAGTGCTGGGCGTTCGATGCAGTTTGGTTAGCAGGCCCTCAGTGTCCTTCTTGTCTCTGTGTCGTCGTTTTGTTCTCGCGCTATAACTATCGTCATGCCATACTAACTAGCCCAAGCTGCCACACTTCTAAGTCGACGTGAAAGGGAGAGCTGCGGTCCAGGCGTGGTTGTGACGAGCTCAACGTGACCTCTGATATCCCCTGTCTGTATTACCTCTCTTCACCAAAGCTGTAGGTTCCGTGGTCAGCCTCCTCATGGCTTCAGTGGCCTCTTCTAGCCAGCCTTCCTCTCTGGCCTCTGCGTTGCATCACTACGTCTTGCTCAAGAGTCTCAACTCTCCAACGGGTGAGCCTGTGTCGGCCGAGTGCAACTTTGTTTAGGACTCTTCTCTACTCAGGAAAGTTTGTTAATTTATTTTCTCTGTTCGTGTTTGTTTACTTAGGCCTCTTTGTGCATGTGCCTTTCATCCGTGTTTTTACAAAGTGCAATGCGAACCTGATAGCAGCCCCACATTTTTTTTTTTCACGAATGTTATTGTCATTGACACAACGTTCTCTGTCTGATCTAAATATTTCAATGAACCTCATCACAAAACTGCCAGGAATGACGCTAAAACTATGCATGACTCATGACTATGCGTTAATTATGCAATGACTGATACTTAAAAAGTGATTAGCTACCAACAAACATCAAAGGATGCAGTAGAAGTTGCTGCACCACCAGACAATGTATGCGTGTGCGCTATTTGTGTGTCCTATTATTAGCCTGGTAAGTGTTACTTCTGTATGGTATTGATTCTGACAGCCAGTTTCCAAGATTCAGCTTGATCACATGTAGTCTATGGCATGTTTCACTGTCCCATAAGCACTGCCTGCAAGCTTCGAGTGTTCTTAGAAGAGGCGTTAGCTTTTTTATAAGGTCCACCATGGATGAATTGGCAAGGTCTTTGGAGACGGATACACTCAACGCATTTTCTTCAATCTCGCAGTTGATTGATATGTGGGGTTTAACGTCCCAAAACCACTATATGATTATGAGAGACGCTTCAATCTCGCAGTGCCCAGGCACTCAGCATACTAGAGCATGCTGTTTCGATGCATAAACAGTGCAATGCAGTGAGCGATGACACAATTTTATGTGTATTTTCAGAGCTTTAAAAGCTTTAACAACGCTCAAAGGGGCCCTGAAACCCTTTTTCAAGTAACCATGAAATAGCTTCACTACAAGAGCTTATTGCCTTACGAATTCAACGCCGCAAAAATTTCAGGAATCCATATAGCACAAGCGTAGTTACAAAGATTTGTCGCACGCTGAAAACGCATTCTCTTTTCTCTCGCCCCCATGAAAGCGCTGGAAGCTAAGTAGGGAAGAATGGCGGGGGCAAAAAAAAACGTCACATGCGTTTTGTGCCCTTGAGCACTGTTTGTTTTTTGTTTTTTTCGTAGAATGCGTGGCTTTTTCAGTGTGACTGCACATGCACGCGTGGACTAGTCATGGCCTCATGCGGCGATTCCTGTAACGACCGAGCGCGCCATATTCAAATCAGCCGATGTCTAATAAATGGCCTTTTATGAGTAATTTTTGAGTGCCATCTGCCATTTGTCGAGAGAAGAGAAAGCGATTTTCAGCTGACTTTGATAATTTATTGTGAATTCCAAGCCGCATGCTGTGCTGTAACATTTGGCCCACATGTTCTCGGGAGACCCTACTACCGATTAGCAGCAATTTCTGACCATGCCTAAAAAGTCTTGCAGAGCCCCTTTAAGGAATGTGGCCAATGCAAGGTGCAATTCCTTAAAGGAGCCCGGACAGGAAGATTTCGTAACTTTTTTGCTTAAATTGGTAGTAATGTGTCTGGTAACGTCAAAGTTCAATCATAAATATTCTCATATAATCAATGCTAATGTCCCTAACCGTGCATACATTCTATGCTACACATGCCTAGAGTTGTAAGATAGCACCCCAAGCCTAGGACCATGTGCGCTCCAGCTTTGGTGATCCTGACAGTGCAGTTTTCAAATATGAAATGATGTGGGTGCTCTGGTATGAGTTGAGCCCAGCAGAGAAAAAAAAGCATTCCTGATGTAAGCAGCCAAAACCACGTTAAGAGCAGCCCAACAACAGGGCGAGTCAAGTGTCAGTCGTGATATAATGTTCGCCCGGCCAAATTCCCATCTTTCATGCTTAGTTTCTTTGCCTTGCTCTCTTCCATAAAGCCAGCTCAATATTCTGTCATTCTGAGCTTTGTTCTTTCTACCATCTCACAACAAAAAATGGGACCATGTCATGTTTACATCATGAGCTCAGTGTCCTTTTGACCACAAAAGTGTTTTATGCCGGGATCCACCACCGCTCCACTAACGTACTTCCGTCACAGATATGACTTTGTAAAATATTGTAAACAAATTGCAATGAAAAAAATAAGACGGAACGGTTTTGTCACAGGTCGTTGAACCAGCAACCTTTCAATCTACAGCCCGTGGTGCTAGCAACAAGGCCATGGAGTGTGCATAGTAAAGATTGCAAACGGCAAGCTATTTATTATACATCATATACCGTTTGGAGGTCCCCAGAGCTCTGTAACTTAAGCGTGTTTTTGTCATCAGTAGTGAGATGGTGAGAAGGTCTCGCGTTGGGCACTCTATAAAGGTCGTCACCTTTAGTGTTTTGATGAGCGCCGCCTCCACAGAGCGTGGTCTCTACTGCGCGCGTGCTTATCCGACTCGTGATTTGAAAGAGCAAGAAGCTCACTTCGCTCGTTGCTGCGGCCACGTTTACGAAAGGAGCACGCTGCCCACTCACACAGAAGTAAGAATAGCGACGGTTGTTCACGCTTGTCCTGTGTATAGTAGTGCATTTGCTTCGTGTGTCTTTCTTTCTGTTTAAACATCACACTTGAAGTGTCGAGCCGTGACAGTTGTTAGACCAAGCATATCCTGTCTATGCTCATTTCGTGTGTGCTTTCTGCTTGAGGTGCGCGCTGCAAGTTTCTACCAACTAGTCATTCTTCGTGTGACTGCAATTTGTCGCTGTAGCATTCATTTCTTCACCCTTGTGGCGAAGCAATGCAGAATAAACGCTCAACTACCTCTGTGAAGACATGTCTTACTTTCGGGTTAGACCGATTCCTACAGTTGGGTACAACTTAAGAAGGCAGCGGCATTTTCCCTCAAAGACAGATGCACAAAAGCCTCCACCAATAGACACGCAGTTCAGGTGACATCATGCGCCGGACTACACTAACCGCTGACCCAGCCGACGGAGAACATGCCTAACATGGCCACCCTTGCTTTGAACTGCGCCGAGTCCCATTGGCTGTGTGCATCTCCCTTCATCAGAGTGAATTATGTGTGGTGGTCTGTCACGCCGGAAATATTATTGTGACCTTACGATACACAATTTGTGCCGCGTGTGTTTGTTCTGAGCCGGCAAAGAGAGATTGCAGCGAACATCGGTGACGCTGCGCTGCGCTTCGTCTGGAAACAGGATCCCGCGGCGACATACCGATGCAAAGAAACATTGTGCGTGTTTGTTTCTTGGTGTTTTATTTGCACCTAAGTGAAGTTACGATGAGGAGAGTTTGCCAAAGCTTGGTATCTACTGTGAACAGCTGGTGTGTTGTCCGCAGCGACACCATGGTGTCGCTGCGGACAACACAGACTTCAAGCTGTCCACGGTCGATGCCACCTTGAGAGATGAAATGAAGCAGGTAACGGTGCAAGACTGGAGGAAGAATATTCAGCACGTGATGGAGTTGGAGGCAAAGTTCAGACTTCAAACTTCTGAGAGTGAGCAAATTCAACCCATCATCATCCAGCTGGGTGAAGATGACACTGATGAAAGCGACGACAACTGTGAGTTTTCTGGCATTGAGCCACTTGACGGAGCATAGCGGCTTCGTATTAATGAAAAAACAGTCCATATTAGAGCTACCACATTTTTGCTCGGTGGGTCTGCAAGAGCTAGCCATCCATTCCGTGACCTCTCAAACAAATAAGCAGCTCTATTTATAGGGTATTTCTTTCATAGAAGCTCACTTCCAATAAGACACATTCCAATACTGGCATATCTAAATTGAAACACTTGCACAGAAGAGAGTTATTCAATCATATGAGTTGCAAAACTCCCCATAGGCTGCATGTATTGAAATCCGCACATGTCATTGGCCCCCTTGTCGGGAGTGAGCCGATTGTCGCGCTACCTGTTGATCTACATGCCCACTATTAAACGCATTATTTGTGTTTTGTGTTCTCGCTCCCAGGTGGTGCAAACCTGAGCTAACTCCCGAAAAATTGGGCCAACTGCGTGTCCAGATTGTTCAGCGAACTGGAAGCGCGAGAGTAACACAGACACGAAGAAAAGAGGAGGCACACAGCATGAGCGCTCAACTAACAACTGGTTTATTCTCACATTAGAAGGACATATTACACAAGGGTGCGCATTTCAAGAGGAATAAGATGATAGTGTGAGCAGCAAGCGTGGCATTCATTCAAAGCACTTGTCTACAAATTATCTATTGTGAAGCTAAAATAGAAAAAGGACTACCTTTCAAGGAACTCAAGCGCTCCCTGAGGCGTACATTAAAATATCGGCCGGTTAGAAGGACTTATATGTCCTTCTAAAGTAAGAATAAGTCAGTTGTTAGTTGAGCACTCGTGCTGTGTGCCTCCGCTTTGCTTTGTGTCTGTCTTACTCCCGCGCCCCCAGTTCACTGAACAATCATGAATTACCAACTAGCCCACCTTTCCATCCTATTGCGTGTCCAGATTTTGGAACGCAGTTTCGCAACTCGTATAATTGAATAACTCTGGCACGGAATGCCCTGCGCCGACGTGCACGAACCTCACGAGATTGCAGACTCGCAACCGAAAAAAAAGAGCCTGACACATTGAAAAAAACAAAAAGCTTCTGCAAACACACAAAAAGTACATACGAATCTTATGCTATGAAACCACCGACTGCTTAACAATTACACGCCCGGTGTCGTCGATCTTGCTTCGTAGCAGACAACGCACAGCGTTGTAGAAGACACGGAGTTATTTTTCTCTCGCGATCCAGCATGTGTTGTAGCATTTCCATTATTACAGTTTTACCAAAGCACTCGTCACAATACACATATCTTATTTATACTGACAAATACGCGTTTTATAAGCAGTCACAATTTCTTTAGCGGGACTATTTCTTTAATCGCAAAGAAAATTGGCTACTGCGCTTCGGTCATCTGGGCGGGGCCTCTCCTGCCTTCTTAAGTTGTACCCGACTATGGACAGAGAGATCCGTCATGTTTTTTTTTTTATTATTATTATTATTTCTTTTTGCAATGAAGTACTAGACGTGGTCTAACACTTTCTGCATTGGATGGCTTACAAAAGTTATGCGCCTCAGGTCGTGAAATTTACTGCAGTGTTTCGACATTCATGCTTGTTACTGCGAATCTTTTGCCACAAAACTGGCTTCCGCTTGAAATTCAAGCACCCTTTGCAATGTGTATGTGCTTGGGTGTGTGACCTGTGTGCTGTGTTTAGATACTCAAACAAAGTAAAAACCTCAAAGTTGGCCTCCTCATGTTGCCAGCACAAATAATAAGCTGCCACCAACAAAAAACTTCTATCTTCAAATAACCACTCCTCTTTCCTGAACTATCTATGACATATTCCCCCCCATGCTTGCCCCTGTTACACGGCAAACCTAATTTCATTTACAGTGAATGACATGAAATGCACTTAATGTAATTTTACCTGCACGCTGTCACACAACAAAAAAATGCCATTTTAAAATGATGACCATGACTTCTGAAAAAATAAATGATTAAAACTTGCACTTAACATACACGTAGCATCAAAAATAATTTTTATCTTTAAATAGGTGCTCTTAGAATATAAAAGCTGCAATTTTACACAATTTACCATAGTTGCATGACACAGGGTAAAGCCAACAGCCAATCGAAAACCATCATTGCCGACGATATGACTGGGCATGAGTATACTACAAATCACTACATAGTGAACTGAAACGTGGGAGCACGAGTTACACTCCGGCTGCAGAAATGAGACAGCAGCAGCCGATTCATGCAGTCATCACTTTTATCACCTAAACACTTGCAATCGAACCGTCAACACCTGCGATATAGGCAACGATGACAATTAAGCCCAAATGAAACATGGTTAGTGACCAGCTGCTGTGGCTGAGAATAGCTTTTTTTTTTTTTTTCAAAACTTTCGCACGTGCTATTATATCATGAAACCAGACATAAGTTAATCCAGTAAAAAGTAAAGTATTTACAAATGACAAAAGTTTTCTAACATAAGTCAATAGCCATCTCACTAAAAAGGCCTGGTCATCAAGACTATACATTTAGTCTGAATTAGTCTGAAATCAATCTGAATGTGTTTCGGGAACTCAATCAACCAAAAAATGTTGTTTCCATTGAACGGCATTAGTTGCCCCATGTGACAACAAGCAAATGACATTACAAACGAAAGACACTTACTGTAAGTGACATTAGATTTGCCGTGTGAAAAGGGTATAAGCTATAGCAACTCACCTTGAAGTCTGTGCGAGGAGCTTGCTGGCTTAGACTTTCATCAATGGTGTCAGACAGCTGGGATCACAGAAACATAACACATCAAAAATCACAATGGATATAAACAGTAGTGTCAACATTGTTATGGTTTCAGTTTAGGTTTTTTTTGTTTTGCCAATGTGCACTGCCAGGCAGCTAGACACTCAATTTTTCACACTCTCAAGCAGTGTGTATAGGCTAACAAAAACAAAAAACCAAGTGAATTAATTAGTTAAGTGGCAGAACAATAACCTTCTCTAAACAGCAGTGTAACCCCTTGTATAAAAATGTAGGACAAATGACTAACAGTGAAGGTAAGAATAGCCAGAGAATACAAATCAACATAATAGAAGTACAGTAAAACCTCGTTAATTCCCAGTCACTGTGAATGTGAGAAATATTTGTGGGTTTTCGAATAAACAGAATGTAAAAAAAAAAAATGAGGAATGCAAGCAACTTGAAGTTATTCACAATTAATCAGGGCTGGTTGTTTGCTGTGCCAGCTAGTTTGTGGCCGCAAGGGTTATGTTTTCCAGCAATAGCTGGTCACAGTTTTGCGCAAACAAGGGGAATTCCGGGCTTAACTGCTGTCACCGCAAAAAAAAAAAAAAGTGATGTACTGAAATGAGTGTCTGCGAAAAACAAAATACCTTCACTTCAGCACAGCAGTGACACATGGCCAGCATGTTGCCTGCTCCTCGCTGCGTCAGCACGTGATGATGCGACCATTCGCCCATTCTTTCTCGTAAAATAAAGAATTTATTAATGGACCGTGTGACGAAATCCCTGATGTGTTCCGACTAGAAAACATCACCATTGACACTGTCAACTCGAGTTTTCGAAGTAGGCGTTGCAGGCCAAAACTCAAAGACAGCTGTGTAAGTGCGCGAATTGCTGGAGCAACCGGCACTTGGAGGTTTGCATACATCGTGGATTTCTCCATACTGTTCTTTATTCATTTCTTTAAATTCCCAGAAATAATGGATAAATCGTGACGCGCTGACTTTGCGAGAAGCATGCGATATGTTACCCACACGTCACAGCTCTATTGCAGCGAAGCATGTCTTGTTTGTCACAGGCGTATACTTTAACTGATCACGAGACCATTTTTTTATATATACAATTTCATTTTTTGTGCTGGCAGTGGCGAGGCAGGGGTGCTTTAGCTACCGCTCATTTGTATCGCTAAAGTACATTGCCTAGTGGCTCTTAAGGGCTGTCGTTTCCGCGGATTCACGGCGAAATAAGGATCGGGAATATCTACACTGCACTCATAGTTCTCGAATTAACTGGGCTTGTGCTGACCGCCGCTTCAAATTATCTGCTCCAACTTGCATCACAAAATACAGGACCACGGAAATACTTTGAATTAAATGATATTTCGAAATAGCCGAGTGAAAATTAACGAGGTTTCACTGTACCTAATAAAGCATATGATAGCTAAGGTTATACATGAAACAAAAATGCTAACAATGGAGAGACCAAAACTACTGAGCCATACAACAGCTGAAAATTATTTCAACCCCTTCAAATACAGCCAATAATCTGCCTAAGGCTGTAACTAAGCCAACTGGTGAACTCTCAGCTAACGGGAATCTCCTAAACAAAAATCGGCAGCAAGTGCCTTTGATATGATTGGTTTTGTATTTGAATTCTGCACCCCTGTCCATCTATGAGTAAACGTTGTTCAAGGGAACATATTTTTCTGGTCACTTCATATAGCATTCAATGACAGTGCTGCAGTAATCACAATGCGGTCATTACCAAATGATTAAGAAAAATACCCTCTCTCAAGCTGTGCCCTCCACCTTCACAGAGTAAGTGGGTGCAACTGAAGGCGCACTCCCACAACTTAAACAAATAGGGTTATATACTTCTTAGCATGCACTGCAAACTACTTACTCTTGGATCAAAAACAAATGTTTGTGAGCCTTTCTACTCTGTGAAGACTCGTGCCGCACACCACCAAGCTTGGCTTAAAAGGCCAGGTTGCGAACATGCTCATCAATACTCAAACTACTGTGCCATGAAACATGAGACTGCCATCAATGCCTCTACAGGATCGAATTCACAACCTGCGTCATCTTTTCTGGCTGGCTTGGCATTTTGGGCACTATGTTCAATGGTGTCTGCTGGCTGTCAACACTACTGACAAGCTTAATGCTGCTCCTTTTTTCATAGGCTCGCTGCCTTTCAATAGTTCTAATCCCTACAAGATCTGTCCATAAAGTAATAACACTGGGTCTGGCAAAAAAAATTTATAAATTTTATCCATATGTATTATCTTACCCCTTCAAAGTAGTTTCCTTTGCCATCAATGCACCAAGTAAAATGAGATTCCTATGTTGCAAACGTTCCCAGAAAGTCAGCTGCCACAACCTCTCTCAGATACTCTGCACCAGGATTTGCACTTGCATAACGGGAACACCATCCAACCGTTTACCTTTCTGGCTTCTCTAGAGCATTGAAAAAAAGAAACAGTCCACCCGGCAGACTGTTTCAGGGTTGATGCAGTCCTCAAACATCTCTGGTGTGCAGACTTGTCCTTGCTCCAAAATCTTTATTGTTCTGCCCATCTTTTAACATGACCTAAATCCACGTCTTCACCCCACCGCAACTAGACAACCAGACCTGGTTGATCTCTGTGCCTCCCTTGTTTTCCCTAAGCGCATGGGTGTTTCTTCGCTGTAGCTTCACTGAAACTGTAATTGGTAGACACAGAGGTCATCCCGAAACAGCAGGCGTGCACTGTGGGAAAAAGAAAAAGAACTCACATCTTCCATTTCCACATCTTCAATAACCACATCTTCCGCCAAAGGGGGAGCACCATCTTGGTTGCATCTTGGTGCTGCAATCGTTAGCACAAGCAGTGAGACAGAACAGTAGGCAGTGCATAACTGGTCCCGATTGTAAGAGCAACGACAAAGGAGATCGTGCAAATGATTTCAAGAAATGCCTGACCTGAAAGACTGTTCAATCAAAGGTTGGTCAGCTCATTTCAAGGCCACAAGGGCCCACACGATTTCATGGTGATCCCAAATCACGGAGGCAACACTCAAGCTTCAGTGCAGTAATAAGACATTAGAGCCTACAGAGAAATGGTCACACATTGACCTACAAACACAGGCTCACAGAAGAAATTGTTCCATTTTGCCATCTCCTTCTAGTGGTGTTTAATGGTTTTTCTGAATCCAGTTTCAAAATAGAAGGAAACTGTCGAGGCTGCCTAATGGAAACACTCGTATGCCTGACCACTTTGACTACCAGATTATTTTTGAAGCAAAAGAAAAGCGCCTTTTTGTGCTCCTTGAAAAGAACACATTAAAGAATCCCAGTTTCACTGCAAGGACACCGCAATGAAAGCTAGAGCCACCAACTCGAATGCTATACGAAATAAGGCGACAGCTTTTTTGGATCTCATCTTGTGCGGCACGGAGTAAAGAAGCTATCTTCGTTTAAGCAAATGATAAATGTATGTCCAGAATGTCCATATGCTGCTGTCACAATTGATTTTATTGTTATGTGAGGTTTAATGTCCCAAAACCACCATATGATTATGAGAGATGCCGTAGTGGAGGGCTCTGAAGATTTCGACCACCTTGGGTTCTTCAACGTGTGCCCAAATCTGAGCACACGGGCGTACAGCATTTTCGCCTCCATCGAAAATGCAGCAATCGCAGCCAGGATTTGATCCTGCGACCTGCGGGTCAGCAGCCGAGTATCTTAGCCATTAGACCACCACAGCGGAGCTGCTGTCACAATCATAAGCAGCCAGCTGGTGGGGATTCATGAGCAGCACAAGAACAAACACAGGCAAAAGAATGGTGGCAACACAATAAAACATTGAACACACAGGGCACATTGCTGACTATCGACTGTTTTTTTTTTTTTTTTATTGATCATTAGTGAAGTTGCATGGCACAAGGGCCATGGGTGGCCAAAGAGTGCCATGTCTTTTATGCGATGTAAGCTATGAACAATGATCATGATGATAGGCTGTATTATGGCTGTATAGAGGCCTAAAATCCTGTGCTATACAAAAGTATAAAAAGTGTGTATAGACACTAAAATTATGACAGCGATATGTGATCTGATGTATGGGTGTGAAATGAATTACAGATGATCCTGGTATCTACAAGGGAGCAAATGTAAAACAGCACGAATGCCTCCTCAATGCCTTTGAAAACAGAGGCTAAGAGGCAGGGGCTTCTCAAAGTAGCTACCACAGCAACAACCTCTGTGGACTGGTTATGCTACGGATTGCACCCATACATGATGTCAAAGCTACCGATTTCAACTAAAAATGCAAATAATGACTCATTTAAAAAAATGGCTTTTTGCTAAAGAACCTCCGAGGATGAAGTGGAATGTGTTCTCGGTAAGCTAATAAAAAAGGCTTTCTTCTAATAGAGTAATTCAGTGCATTGTATTAGTTGACAGTGAGTGATTCATTACATCTATCCCACAAAGGTAGATTGCCACCGCACCAAAGGTATGAATTTGTGCTATGTGTATGTACTGTTTTTAGCCTTGTACGTCTAACTTCTGTGGGGCGTGATTTTGATACTTGCAGCCAATTATCAAGAAACAGCTTGATGACATGTAGTTTGTTTTGTGTGTACCTATCCCATATGTTCTGCCAATAAGTTCTCAGTTTTCATATAAGGAAAGGTTTTAAATCAAGCACTGGGACAGGCATGAATGAATTAGCAGCATTTCCGCAGATGAATGCAGCAAGCTGGTTCGCCATGACGTTACCTTGGGTCTCGCAGTGCCCTGGCACCCAGACAACTATGATATGTTTGGATTTGTAGACTGTGCATAATAGTGAATAAAAGTGAGACAAGGGCAGGGTTTTTGTGTTTTTTTTTAAGAGTTTGCAGAGTATTTACCATACTTAGGGAATCCGCGTGAATTACTGCCTTCTGTAGTTCTAATTGTTCAACGTTTTTAACGGCCACAAGTATAGCAAAAGCTTCTGCAGTGAAGATGCTTGTATTCATATGCAGAACACTGGACTTCGAAAATAATGGGCCAACCGCTGCATACGACAAAGAAGTGTAAGCTCTTGAAGCATCTGTAAAGAACTCAGGTCATGTGTATTTGCGCAGCAATTCCAGGAAGTATGGGCGGATATGTGCAATGGGCACATGCTTCGAAACCTCTAGGAAAGCCACATCACATTCTATAGTCTGCCACTGCCATGGTGGTAGGTATGCTGCAGGAGCCATCAGATGGTGTTCAAGTGGTACACCCGTTTTCTCGACTAGGCTCGTAGCACGAAGCGAGTAGGGCTGTCAAATTGAAGGGCAGTTTTCAAATAGTGCAGAACTGGACATATAATTGATTACAGAGTATGACGGGTGTTCCTTGTCTGCGTTCATTTTGAGATAGTATACAAAAGAGATGCAACATCACTGCAGATGGAGCAACAACTTGTTCGAGTCTACGTACAGGCTTTCTACAGGGCTGGTTCGAAAAGCACGCATGCAAATACGAATGCCCAAATGGTGGACAGGGCCAAGCATTTGCAAGACGCTTGGTGCTGCAGACTGATAGATTATCGCCCCATAACCTAGGTGCGTGCGTATAAGACTTACAAATACTCATCAGACATTTACCAACTGCCCGAGGATGTTTGTGACAGAACCTTGAGTACATTCATAGACTCCAGGCACTTGTTTTTCAAGTTTCTTATGGGAGTTACAAATTTTAGTTTTGTATTTTAAATTATGCCTAAATATCTGTGTCCAGTTTTCACGGTTAGCCGCAGAGGTCAATGTCTGGATAGGGATGGAGACCTCTCTTTCTTGTGAATAAAACGCATGTGCATTTTTGTGGATTAAGCGTGAAGTCATTCTTGTCTGCAATTTGGTGACCTCATTTAAACCAAGTTAAACCTGCCACTTGCACACTGCCAAATCGCAGAATTTCAAACCGATCTGCATGACGTCAACATATGTGTAATAAAACATATTGCATAGAATAAAGGAATTCAATGTATTGATTTTCATAATAAAGAGTGTGCAACTCGGGACACCACTCTGGGGCACCCCAGTCTCCTGGACAAATGTTCGAGACAAGACATGCCTCACCTGGGCACGGAAAATGCAGTTGTACAAATAACTTTCAACTGTTGTCAGCATGTTATACTGGTTTTTTATTGAAAAGGTAAATCATATATAGGCAGGCAAAAAGAAAAAATGGGGGGGGGGCACTATCAGCTGGTCACTTGGCCATCCATGTATGCTTTTGAAGAAATTGAGTGTCAGCACTGCGTCGTGTTTGGCCACAATGTTTATGAACCAACTAGGCCACCTAAGAGCTTGTGCAAAAGAATAAGCGTTGTCATGTTTCTACCATTTGTTTCTGTTCCTGTGTTATATTATACTTCAACAGTTATGTTAATAAACAAAAGATTGATTCAAAAATACACAGGAGAAACCTCTGCTCAATGCAGGGCTTGCAGCCAGTTTTACTTGGGGCATACTAGTTGAAAAAGTTATTGTTACTCAATAGGCTAACTTCCTCAGATTGTGTATTTGACAAATAGGTCATATTTAAGAGGAAGATTTCAGTCCTCTTGTAATCGTCCAAATGTAGACACATGTTCAGCTCATCTGAGAACTTCTTTTTTATCCTGCACCTGAACAATATGTCTACTTAGGATATGTAGCGACCACAGAGCCAAACAATGAGAGCGAAATAACTGGAATAATAATGAGTCGGAGCACATTTGGCAAGCATTCTCAAATCATGATTGGTAGTCTACTACTGTCCTTCAAGAGAAAGGTAAATAACAGCTGCATCTAACCAGTACTTACCTACGGAGCAGAAACCTGGAGGCTCACAAAGGGGGTTCAGTTTAAAGTGAGGACGAGGCAGTGAATGATGGAAAGAAAAATGATGGGTGTAACCTTAATAGATAGAAAGAGAGCAGAGTTCATCAGGGAATATACAGGAGTTAAGAATATCATAGTTGAAGTTAAGAAATGAACGTGGACCGGGCATGTAGCACGTAGGCAGGATAACTACTGGTTATTAAGAGTCACTAACTGGATTCCAAGAGAAGGAAAACGTGCGAGGGGGAGACAAAGTTAGGTAGGCAGATGAAATTAAATAGTTTGCAGGTATAACGTGGCAACAGAAAGCACAAGAATGGGTTGATTTATCATCAGCCTGGCTACCCCCCCTGCAGGGCTGTAGCCTCTCCCATAATCCGCCAATCAACCTGGATAGTTCCATATTGGTTATGACACTGCCTTCTTTATTCTTTACTGCATACATCCGGTTTTTGCCTGTGCACAAGTTTACCTTTGCAGCTTTTAGGCTTCTGCCACTTTTTACAGCCTGCTCAATTCTATGTTATACCTTCAATGTCGGCTACTTTACACCTATTGATTAACTTTGAAAGCTCCACTAGCTCTATTTTGTCAGTTGCATTTGAAGCTTTCATGGTTTGCCATCTCTTAAGATCTTAAGTCTCCCGAGATAGTTTGCCAGTGTCTTGTCTAGTGACTGTACCTCCGACTTCTATTGCACACTTACAACTATGATAACCTAACAACCATGCCTAGAATATACTGACTAGTCAGCCTATGCAGATTTAACTTCAAGCAACTACTTGCCCTGCTGGGTGGCTGCCAGTGATGATGACAGCATCGAGAAGATGTTGAATCGGTCCTTTCACCTCGCATGAATAGAATGTGCACACCACCTCCTCTGTGCAGACATGACACTACATGGGGACAGCACTAGGGAACCGTGCAAGCATTTCTTTGACCACAGACAAGAGCTCAATTTGCATCTTCTCTTTCCTTATCTGTTTAACCTGTAAGATTTCTAAATTAGAAGACTGTAGGACTGGGCATGTGGGTAAAACATGATTAAGAGTGCTTGTCGGCAAGTGATACCCCTTGTCATTTCCACTGATATGCACTCTTCATAAATTTGACAGCAATACGAATGCACCTCTCACCAATGCAGCCACAACGACCACTATTTTATGGCCAAGCCTTTTCCAATGTCATTTGATGCACATTGATATTAGACAGTCATGCCTGGTGGATGACAAGACTCAGATAGAATCGAGCATAAGTTATCGCAACAAAATAGCTGTCAGTATTCATTCTTGCGTGAAGACGACCTACATTGACAGTTCCGGCACTGGCTTTCAAAAAACACTTGCTTTCACCAAGTAGCCGGGTATTACCCAGAGTAACTCTTTGTACTCGGTTGACCAGAAATGCCTCGAAAGTGAGCAACCAGTTGCCCCGTTACCAGTTGAGCCGTCATACATGGGACTGAAAGAGACAATACGTGCAGGCAGCGTTCAGATAACAAACCGACCGAGCAAACTCCAGGAGGATCCAGTGGGCGGCGAGAGAGTGCCTTGGAAGGCTGTCGTTGCTGGACGCTTGGCCCCACAAACGACAGTCGAGAAGGAGCCCTGCGGTTCCTTGGTGCTCGGCGGCTCGACACGGCTGGAGCTAGTTACCGTCGCCGCAGTGTGCCCTCCAAACAGCGTCGGCATTTTTGATAGCCACTTGTCGGCATCACCTTGCATATCGTCAGTGGTGGCTTTTCAGTTATCGCCAACGAACGTTAAACGACGTCTCGCCGCGGTTTTGAACTTGCGCGTGGCCGCAAAAGAAGGTTCTTGTTGGCGTTGCATAAATCAGTTGCCAGACTTTGAGGTTGCTGTTGCCAAACTGCCACCAAATTTAGTAAATAAATTTGCTTTTGTAGTTGTGGCTTTTCCGTGAGGGTTTGGTGTCATCCGCGGTGCATTTTGCAAGTGCGTGAGCTACGTTGGCCATTTTAATTAACAAAATGAATGTAAAACTAGTGTTCCAGAAGTCGGGGAGCATTCTCTTGCTGTGTGCGCTGCTGTACAATTAAGAGATTGTGTCTCAGAGTTAGGGAATCAACGACGCGTCGTACGCCGTGCATTTCGCGAGTGCGATGAACTTTTTCGCGAGTGAGCGTGCGACGTAATTAACGCAATGAACCGCGCGTTCTCTTGCTGTGTGCGCAGCTGGGCAATTAAAAGATCGTGTCTCAGTATTAGGGACGACAGGGAAAACTGCATAGAGTCGCCTCCGTGTGCAACGCCAAACAGAACCTTGCCGCCCGAGTACCTTCGCACGGAGGTTCACCAGCAGCACATTTGCCTTCGGCCTTTTCATGCTCCCCTTTGGACGCTTCCTGGTAGTACATGTTGGCATCGTTTCAGCCAAACGCTGCTGACATCAAGCGTGGTGGTGGTAGTGGTTAGATGACGAGAAATGGCACCTAATTTTTGCTACCCAGTCGGCAGCATGTCGCAATCAAGCGTAGAGAATAGCTACAAGCAAGCTGCGCACGTCCTACACGGTTTTACTCGTTTAACATCGCCTAAGTAGACTAGCCTTTCGAGTCTGACAGATCGTACACATGTGCGCCTACAGCAGTCGACGTATCATTATCAAAACAAAGGCCGTCATAGGCGTTTTTGTATTCAGTTTTGCGCATGGAGCCAATAGAACAGTGGCCTCTTCTAAGTTTTATGCTATAAAACTTCAATTTTTAATACACTGTGCAGTAATCCTGTTATGTAAACGAATGCTCTCATGCACGGAGGAAGGAAAAAGGTTTTCCTTCCTCTGTGCTCTCATGTGGTCTCTTCGTTTTGGCTGCACCGGCTGAACCAGTTCAAAGGGTGCAGCACCTTCGTCCTCGTTTTGCCGGAGCAGCGCGCGCCCTCTGTCGCACCCTCTGCACTGGCTCCCTCGTTTTGTCTAGGTGTAAGCCTAGTTCCTGACGAGTTCTGTACCGGCGTGCACGCACTCCAAAGCAGGTGCAGAGTAGTGCAGCATGGCGGGCGTCCCCCCAAGGCCAGAGCAGACGACGTTGCAAATAGTTGTTCAGGGCGTTCAAAAGGAAGTTAAGGCACTTCACAATCCCGACGGGTCATTTATGACGGACGCCAACGGTTACGTCTATGAGGCATCAGGTAAGTCAGGCTGCATGCATTGCCAAAAAACGTGGTTAGCGGCCAGGAGTCGTAGTCGGTCAGCAAACAGCCTCGTAGCATTGCTTATGCTATGTCGGTATTTTTAATCTTGGTTTTCGCCCTTGCAGACGGCAAGCGCGTTACGTTGCGGTTCATGGCAGGGAATCGTGAAAATGACCCCCCTCCGGCACAACCGCCGACGCCTTCTCCTGCCTGCGACGGCGACGTTGACAGCGATGGGGCTTTAGCCGCATTTCCAGCAGCAGCCGCGTCGGCTGAAGATGTGGAAGAGCTTTGGAGCGCCCGAAAAACAAGGTTCTTCATCGCCAAATACTCGGAAATGAAGGACTTGGTGGGAAAAACCAGGGCACTTCGGTATGTCATCCTATGTCCAAAATTATTTGCAGCTTTTTATTATTCCGTTTCACTCTAGGCAAGCACCAACAAGATAAGGGCGCATGAAGTTCACAATGGCGATGGTTATTGTTGCCTACATTTTACTGCCAGCAATTTACATTTTACTGCCCCCCCCCACTGAAAAAAAATTTTGGCTATGCGCCTGACTGTGACATATACGTTTACATATACACACAAACAGTATGTATAGTCACGCACATATATACACAACGAAGGCATTCGTAATGTTTCATTAAGTCAAGTGATCTTCAAAAACAGCGACGGTGCTTTTGTGTTGGGCATTGCACAACCGCTGTCTTGCCGAAAAGGTGCAGCACCTCCAAGCTCAAGCCATGTTGCAAGTGTAGTGCTGCCTTGAGAATTTGCACTAGAGGGAATTGCATGTTGTTATTCTGAGGCACATCTCTAGCAAGTCTCGCCCTGCAGTCCTTGTGTCTTCACTGTCTGTCCGCATTTCTCTCGCACTGCCACTTTTCAAGATGGTGCAGCTCATTGTTAAAAGAGATATGCTTCTTGACACGTGCTACCCTATCTTTGAACCTAGACTGCGCCGTCGTGTCAGCAAACAAGGTTGCGCAGCTGCATGTTTTACAATGCAAAGACAGGTTAGAATATGGCTGTCTCCTTAGTGAAGCTTTATGATCCAAAAGAGTGATTTACACAATGTTCAACTTCTCCAACATAATGCTTCCCGCACAAAAAGAACGTTCGCAGTTATCAGAAGTGTGTGAATAGTGAATTTCGGAACCTAATCAAGTAAGAGTCAAATAGTAATGGCACCAAATAGAATACAAATAGTAATTGAATACTGTTTGAATAGTAAGTAGACCATTTTCAAAACAGCCTTAGAACAGAACATTTTATTTGAAACAAATAGTCACAAACTTTCGACAAAGGCCATTACAGTCAGTTTGAATCTACTCAAAATACCACAATTACGAAAACTAAGGTAATCTCGTATGCAGCAGGAACTAGAATATTCGTAACATTTTGTAATTGTAGGTTCAACTACGGCATTGACTAGCGTTATCAACGTGAGACTTTGTCACCTCACTTTAAATAAAATTGGGACACAAAAACAAAACAATTTACAACCAAACATTGCAGATACAACTAAATATGTAACGGAGCAGATCAACCCGTCATCACAACATGGCCTGCGCACTAAAAGCGGATAACAATGGGCGTTGAAATTTACATCTGCAAGAACAATTTACGCAAACGCAAAACTTGTATCTGTTGCTAGTCGTGAAGCTGCAAGCACTCGTAGTTCCCACCTTTGGTTATTACAAGACGAAGACAGGAGCTGATAAATGCGATACAGCTAAAGTGCAGTAAAAATTGAGCAAGAATGGAGCTTTCAGAAGCGCATTCATTCGACAATCAATATAGTGTAGGTAGTCTTGCAAAAGCTTGGGCTGCGTACAGGTCACATTAGGGATTGAAAGAATGACTTGTAGCTGTTTCGTTGTTTTGGGGTTCTCCCGCCAGTGCCGATTATTAAAAGAATATTTGTTACTTAGAATATGTGCAATTCGATTCGACTTAGGAACCGAATACAGTGCTGTTTGATTCATTATCCAAAATTTTCGAATAATCGAACATCCCTAGCAATTATCCCTGAAAGCTACACATATGAAGTACTAAGGAAAGGTTCATGTGCTACTGCAAGACTTGGGTCACGTTACGTCGCTTCCTTCTTTCCTACTAACTGTGCTTTGCTTTTTTGTTTAGCACAAGAAGGCTTCTGTGGAAGAAGTTGGCTGAGGCCATCAATACGGAGTTCTTGTGCAACGTGACTGCCACACAAGTGGAAAACAAATGGAAGTCGCTGGACAGAGCATATAAAAAGTCAAAAAAAGACAACAATTCTTCAGGTCACCACCGTGTGAACTGTGAATATGAAGAGTAAGTTACGATTGTGTCTTCATATCTTCAGTGATTCTCATAGTGTCTATTACAGAGAGCTGGCAGAAGTCTTGGAAAAAGAACATAGTGTAAATCCAAGGCTGCTCTTGGAGCCTGGAAAAACAATCCTGCCTAGTGCAAGTCCAGAGTAAGTAAAAATTACTTAATTTGTGCTGTAGCCTGGAAATGACATGGCACCTGTACAATTACTTTCAACAGCACCAGCATCACTGAAGCACCTCAAGATGCAGCAGTCCCAGTCGAGTGCAACACAGCATCCAAAGTTCGGAGCAGCACAACGCCAAAAAGGAAGCGCCAGAGTAGGTCCCAAGTCACGCCGCTCTTGGAGGCATTAGAAAAAATGCAAGCTTCGAGAGCTAAGCAAGAGGAGGCAGCAGTGAAACAACTGGAGGAAAGAAAAAAATGGGAAGAGGCAAAGGCAAAGCGGCATGATGAGCGCATGCAGCGATTCGATCGGTTGATCGACGTACTCTCAAATAAGGACGGGTTATAATATGGGCAATAAACTTTTATAACACTAGCAGTGTCTACTCCATCTAATTTGTTAAAAAAAAACATTGCTTCTAGACGCGGCACCCCACTTCGCAAAACATTTGCACACTGAATAAATCGCGAAGCAAAGATGAACTTCTAGCACTGTTCCTTTGCAATGAACTCTCGCAGAGACTGACTGTAGCCTGGCAGACTGCAATCAAAATCTCCTTCACTTTCATCATTGCCCACATCTTCTTCTTGGGGAAGCGTTGCAAGTTCCTCAAGGAAGTCCCTTTCATCGTTGCACATGTTGTGTAGCACACACGCAGCCATAACTATATAGCAGCACTGTTGCACACTTTTTGCATCAACAAGGTAGAGCCTCCTAAAACGCTGTTTAAGCAGGCCGAAGGTGTTCTCAATAAGCACTCGTTGTTGACTGTGTCGTTTATTGAAGCTCTTTTTCCACGTAGGAAAAGAACTTCCATTGTCCTTGAATGGGGTCATGAGCCATGGCATCAGTGGATATGCACTGTCACCCAGTATATAATTGTCTTCACATTCCTGAATTGCGCGTGCAAAGAAGGGGCTCTCCCTCAGGACACGGGCGTCGTGAACCGAACCTGGAAACCCAATAAACACGTTCAGCAACTTGTTCCTGTCGTCGCAGATTCCTTGCAGGATTATCGAAGGCCACTTTTTCCGGTTGAAGTAAGACTGCGTAGATTCGCTTGGAGTGAGTATCCCGATGTGTGATCCATCGATACAGCCGATGGTGTTTCTTGGGCCCTTGCCTTTACTTTTGGCGAGGAAGCCGTTCTTTATGCGGGTCACTTCCGCGCTACTAGGCCAGCAAATTATCTCATCGCTAATAGCGTGTAAGAAGTGAACGACCCGTGTCACACAAACATGAACAGACGACTCGGTAACATCGAATTTGTCGCCTATGGCGTACATAGATATTTGTGAGCCTAGGTACACAAGCGCTATGAGGCATGTTTTTTCGGCACTGATTTGTTGGCGGCCTTGCACTGCCCTTGGGTAGAAGGCTGAAGTCTTGAACTTGGCCCTGAAACTATCAAAAGTCTCCCTGGACAGCCTGAAGAGGCGCTTGAATTCATACTCATGGTACCTGCCGATAATGCTTTCGTAATGGCTAACGTTGCGACGCGCTTGTTTCACAGTTCGAGTCAAGCCGTTCTGTGGTCAAGCCAAGCGTGTGAATGTACTTGATCATTTTAGTTGCAGCGAGTACAGCGAGGTATGATTGCGTCGATTGTGCGTTTGGCAGCTGACCCCTGGAGCCGTCGGCAGCATCCCGTTCCCAAGGTGTCTTGGTTGGACCGGCATCCGAGGTTCACTCTGGTTGTGATCGGCATCGGAGGCACCTGTCTCATGTTCAGCCGATTCATTTACGACTTCGTCAACTCCATGCTCGAGTCGGACGGTGCGTTTCTCAGCGATCAAACTCTGCCACTGCCGTTTTGAAATTATTGTTACAGCTTTCTCAAGGGCGCAGGAAAAGCGCTATATTTATGTGTTACTTTTACTTATGTTATTGCTGCTCTTTTCAGACATATGTTAGAGGTGTGCTGCGAGGCTTCGGCGTGCCGCCGACGCCAACTGATCGGCGCGCCATTTAAGTAGCATTTATTTTTCTTTCAGTTAACCTACGTTTATTTTGTAGCTTCTGTCACCAGTAAATACTCTGGCTTTTCTTAATACTGCCCCATTCGCATACATATTGCAGTTAATTCACCTACCACTTCAAGCTAAATAACTGGACTAGGAAAAAAAAAAAAAACTTGTAAGTGCTTGTGGTAAGGTAGTGATGTATTCACTTTAAAAGTAAATTTTAAGATACTTTTGAGTTCAGGTTTGATTCCAGGTCAGTGACAGTGCCAACGGCGGTGTTTGGCGAGGACTGTCGACATATTCTGTCTGACGACAATATGCAATATGTGAGGTGGGCTTTGAACAATCGGAGTGGCTAGCGTTACGTCGAGACGTAACGATAGAAGCCGTTAAAGTTACGTTCAGGCGTAAAAATAAGACATAGAGTTATTCCCAGCGTGACAACAATACAAAACTGGCCTGTTAAACCCACCAAACCCATCGGCAGCAGTGGCGTAGTGAGCTAACACAGCATGTGCAGGACGATGAGGTCGTTGGTTCAGGCCTCATTAAAAAGTTTTTATTCATTTTTTTTGTGCAAGTATTTTTTTAAACAGTGCAGCATTAATGTTCCAAGGGCGTAGCTTGTATATATTTTTTTTTCTTAAAGAAAATGGCCGTCGTGGCCGCGGCGGAGGCGCAAAACCGCGCTGCTACAGCGCCAAAAAAAAACAGTGAGTGTTAGCGATGAAAGTGCACCGCGAGATTATCCCAGCATGGGCGCTATTAGAAGCTTTTCATTTCATTTTATTACCTTAAAGACCCCATCGAAGGGGTATTACATAAGGGGTGGGTACATATATGAAAACGTGAGAGCCATATATATATATATATATATATATATATATATATATATATATATATATCTATATATATATTTTTTTTACAATGCAAGGTAATTTGTTACGGTGTTCAAAAAGGTGGTAGGACAGGTTATGGCGGTGATTTCTTTAGAAAGGCCTTCCAGTCCGTAGCTGCACGAAAAAAGAATGAGGACGAAAAAGTGTCGGTGCGCGTACGCGGCCGCGCAACTTGTTGCGGGTGACCAGTGCGATGGGAGTCTGTGTAGAGTCTGTGTATTAACTCTATGAGTCATAGAGTTTCCCACAGAAAACTCTATGGCCTCAGTGACAATTCGTTTTGTGTTCGGAGGTGATTTTTTCGTATTTTTACCATTACACCCCTAAAAATACATATATAACGAGTCGGATAGATGTCTTTTTGTCATTCAACAATAACCGTAATCCATATTAATCTATATTTCAAAACTCGCCTCATCCCCAGCTGGGGAGTACAAAGCTCAGCGGGGGGTCATGAGAAGGCATGGAGATAGCACAGCAAGATGAAAAGAAAAGATCTTTTGTGCAATGAAGCATTGCTGAAGCCTTTGTGGCAACCATTGAATTTACCACCATCTGCACTTGCAGGCGTATGTTATGCCCTAGCCCTTCATTCCACCAACACACTGTAATAGGGGATAAGACTGGTGCACGTCATAACCAGCCCCTCATTTTGGAAGCTACGAGAAAAGAAGCACTGGACGTCAAAAAAAAAATTTTTTTTTGTAACGTACTGCTAACGACCCACTAATCACAGCTGGTGAGCTCGTTTGCTCTAGCGTGCAATGTTAATTATTTGGAGACTATTTCATTGCGCTCAGTCGAACTTTCGGTTCCACAGGGCGCCGAGTGTGGCAGGACCCAAAGGCGTTTTCTCATGAAGGAAAGGAATCCAAAGCCAGCTGGCTAGCTGAAATGCCAATTGAAGGACATTTTTGATAGGCACCAGCTATATACTCATCACCAATATAACTTTTTCTTTTCGAGTTGATGCGTCTGGCCTTCGCAGCCCTGTCAGCGAAGTACTGTCGATGCAGGTAACGTGCGCGTAGGCCCTATACCGTATAGCAACCTGGCGAAATTCAGAACGAGTTCAGCACATTCACACGAGCTATGTTGCCATCAATAAAGGTAATTACAGCATCAAGTCTGCATATTTTCAGTGTTAGGTGTCCAAGAAACATGTTTTTTGGATCGTGCTCCCACATGACATTGTTGAACGACTCATTGTGGTTTTGAGTTTTCCCATGGAGGCATTTCCCAAGTAATTTGGAATTAGCAAGTTGCTCATAAATTGGTTTAACAGCCTCAAGGACAGATGCCAGAAGAACTTCTTTGTGAACCACTGAACTGGGCTTAGTTGAATTTACACCAGGTATCAGCGTCCTGCAGGCAAAGGCCGTGGGGGGACAGTTATCCGTTAATGCCATGTGGAAATATATGGCCCAGGCAGCGTTATGGATGTCCTCTAAGCTAAACCGTAATACTTTTGGAACTCTTAATAATGCGCTCTAACAACACATGCAAAAAACGCTCGCAACGTACTTCTACCTGCAGGTAAACATTGAATCGGCAGATGAAGCACTTGCTGCCAGACCACATATCATTCCCACTAAACTTTTCAAAAAATTAGTGCCCTTCATTTCGGCGCGCTTTCAGCTGTCCACGTGAGCACTCAGGTGGAGCGTACCTGGGGGGGCATCGCATAAGTTTTAAGATATGTGATTTTTAGACAGAAAAAAGGCATACACTAGAACAAACAAATGACTGATTCTGGTCCAGAAAAGGCTACAGATTTCAAATTATGCAAAAAAGAAAAAGGCCATTTTTTTCAATATCTTTGCTTACCCTGACACCTCAAAGGGAATAAAAGGTAGGAGGGAGTATGAAGATAAACAGCTGTCTACAAACACGAGACTCGAGCATTGCTGTTCACCCTACTCCCTACCTGCACCTCCTTGTGTCTTTTAAGAATGTAGTCTTTGAAAAACGAAACAAAGGAGAAAGCGCATGTCCTATATTCGTTTCGCCCCTTTTGTATTCGTTGTAGCATTTGCATTATAAGTTGATGAGCATGGTCTCCTTATGAGAGACGAGTTAGCGCCTTTATCCTGTGTTTTATGAATCACCCTCTATATAATGACCTCCAAATTGCCCACCTGTCTGTTACTCAAAAAAAAAAAAAAAAACTAAGTTACACACGAAGAGTGCGAGCTCCGCTTGGCCCTACTTACCTGATAAATAGAGGCTATTCCATCATTCATTTATTTAATAGTAACCTCTAGGCCCGAAGGTAATACAGAGGCAAGTGGTACATTTGATAATGAATAAGAGATTAACACTTACCAGAAAAATAATACATAGAGTATGTTAATAAGGACTAATACAAAGTAGATATAACAGCATTGCTGTGAGAGTAAAAGAAATTAAATTTCTTGTGATACAGTGTTAGCTATGGAACGAACGGGGTGTGCTGAAAGAACATATATATATAAGGAAAGAAGTGTATACTTTATGATGTATATTCAACATGTATGCCAAAAAAACAAAACATTTATGAAACATTTGCCAGCCCTTTTATATCTCCATGCTGTTCTCTCGGGCATTACTGTTAAAAGTCCTGAATTTCAGCTAAGGAAGGAATACACAGTAAAGTAGCTTTCTTAAACTTGTAGTTTTGGTTTCCAAGCCGCTGCCGATGAAAAGTGGCCGTGTACGGCCGCCGCCTACTTGGAACGACCCGCACGCCACCGCCAGTCGAAACCGCCTTGACGCACACCTCTATTGCTGTCCATGAAGGAAGGAAAGCTGAGGAGAGGCCCTCGCAATGCAAGCTGCAGAGCAAAAAGTGTGGCGGACGTCACATGCTTTTGCCGGGGCGTTGTGGCATTAGGAGGGCACGCTGGCGCCCTGGTGTCGTGTGCACCACCACTCGTACGACCGCATTGTTTATAGCAGGCTAGAGTTCTGAATGCGCATTTTTATGCAGCTGTTACATTTAAAAGATTGTTTAATGTATCGGAAGCCTACAGTGAGAGTTGGCCTTCACGGCTGTAAGTTTATTTATATCGCTTCAAGTTGAAAACAGTCATTTACGGAGCTCGTGACCACATCTCCGAAAATGGTTGGCGCCGCAGCTTCGCTGTTTTTTTTTCGGCACTGCGCTGTTGCATGCCTCAGCGAAGGAAGCTTAGAATTCCAATAACAAAACAACAGCGTCTACAGTTCGTGATCCGAGAAGTGGCGGCGAGCCGTTCTCATGTATCACAAAACTATCTGAATGCAGTATGGTCACAAAACTATCTGAATGCAGTACGTGGTACTGTTTTCAACGGAGCTTACCGAGTCAAGAATTAGATGTGCCTAAGACAGAAGGCGATTTATTGTTTGAATTATCGCTTCCTGTTTATGTTTTGCGCACCGTAACCTCATCTTTGGCCAAGCTTTTTTTTTTTTTTTTTTTCCGATATGATCGCAGTCACCAACTCGCACGCTGCTGCGAGCGATACTCTTGCGCACGTATCTGTGAGGGCAGGTTCGTGTAATTACGGCACCTCTAAGACTTGTTGCTGAGATAATGCAAGAGATGACGTTAAAGTTAGCGATGAACGAGGGATACAAAAGAGATTACAATAGTAAACACCGTTCTCAAGTCACTCAACGTAGTTTCCCCACTACACTAAACAAGGCTGGCTAGGTTTCACCATGTATGGGTGGAAGACTGTTAGGTCGATAAGTTGCTGCATGGAGTCTCACGCTGACAATTGGGACAGGGCAGGCATGGTTGAAACCCAGCAGAATCTACGTAAAAGGAACTCGTCTCGGGGTCAATAGTAGGCCCGGTCTTGAATGCAGCCGGGTCCCAGCACAAGGGACTGGCGCCGGCTACTGGAACACCAGTCAGGGTGAACGACTCATGGGCGGACAGCAGGCAGCAGTCTGCTTCAGGACCAGGACACGATGGGTGCCTCGGCCTGCGACTGCTTCTCTGTCATGGTCTCCAACCCACTTCCTCTTCCTCCACTTCTCTTTCTGCCTCTCTGGCTTGGCTTCCCGATCACAGTTTCCTCTTCCAGCTTGTCTTGCCATTTTTATTGACGCACCACACAGCACAAAACCACGACCATCGCGCACCACACGAAAGTACCGCACACAACATGACAAAAAACACCCTTTTCGAAAGTTTTTTTTTTTTTTTCCAAACAAGAGTTTCAATAGACACCCATACTGAACCTAATAGACAAAAGCAGCAGTCTGTCCGTGGTACTCTTGATAACATTGTTTCGCGAGCTCCTACATCTGCAGTTTGCTCATATAATCAGCATTGACATTCTCTAAACCTCTGATGTACTCCACTCAAAAGGTGTATTCGTAATGCAAGACTCCAATGTAAAATTCTACTGTTCAAATGCTTGGCCTGAGAGAGGTATTGTAACGCCTCGTGGTCAGCGCATTCTCTGAACCTTTGATGTACTCCACTCAAAAGGTGTATTCTTGCTATGCAAGACTCCAATGTAAAATTCTACTGTACTTGGCCTGAGAGAGGTATTGTAATGGCTGGTGGTCAGCCTGAACGGTAAATGAAGTTCCATAAAGGAAGATGTGAAACTTCGAGATCGCCCAAACTAACGCCAAACACCCTCTTTCAGTAACAGAGTACTTCTCTTCTCGGGGCATAAGCTGGCGACTGGCCTAAGATATCGGGTGAAGGAGGCCCTCATAGTCCTGTGCGAGCACTGTGCCTATGCACTTATTAGAGGCATCCGTGCGTAACACGAAGGGCTTTTGTATGTCAGCTACCTTGAATACCGTACCAAATGCCAGAGCTTGCTTTAGGTTTCGAATGCCTCTTCTTTTTCGGCATTCCACGCTAAGTTGTTCTTTTTCATCTTTCTGGTCACTTCAGTCAAGGGTTTAGCTTTCTCTGCATACCGAGGTGTGAGGTCTCGGTAATATCCCACTAGGCCAAAAAAAGAACGAAGCTGCTTTTTCGTTTCTGGTCTTGGAGCTGCAGTGATCTTACTATTGTGCTTTCTACTGGGCGGATATTTCCATCGCCGAGTCGATGACCAAGAAAAATGACAGAAGTCATACCAATCTCACATTTTTGAGGCTTGATCTTTAGGCCTGAATCTCGGATCCTTACAAACAGGTTGCTAGATGTTCTGCCCACGTAGCTGTGGAAATTTGGAATATAGTGTATGTAATGTACACCCGAACACAGTTATATCGAGCCCACATATATAGAATTTTCGGGTATATCGAACTCTCAAGTTATCCCTTGAAATTCTTTTGTAAAGGTATAGAAATTTGCACGTTTATATAGAGCGGTGTTTTTACCCGCCTGAACGCCGCGCGAGCTGGAAGATGCACTTCGGCACCGACGTCCTCCTCCTTTTGCCTTTTCTTTGATGTTTTGTTGCCGTTTAGCGAGTTTCGATCACGCAACCACAACTCCCGCCTTTTGCTTTTGCCCTCGCAGGTGGCAATCGCCTCGCAAGTTCTTTGTTGCTTCAGCCGTCACGGCACCTACGTAAAACCGCATGTGCAGCATTTATTTTTTCGTGCGTAGTGTGCAAACCTGCTGTGGCCAGCGTCAAGAAGCGCAAGACCCTTGACTTTGCAACAAAGTTGATGGCTATTTAGCATGCTGAGGCGGGCGAGAAACGTTCGACCCTCGTGGACGACTTCGGGATACCACGGAGCACTCTGAGTACTTTGTTGAAAAACAAGGCAGATATCAAGGCAAAGGCAGTGGAGCAGCAAACACTGGGAGCCTGTCATGTGCGGGCTTCTGCCCACGAGAATGTAGAAGAGGCACTGCCTGGTTTTTAGAAGTACGCGTGAAGAATATTCTGGTGGATGGCCCGATGCTAATGGCCAAGGCCAAATGATTTTCCGCTGAACTCGGTAAAACAACTTCACCGACAACAGCGGGTGACTTCACCGATTTAAGCAATGCTACAACATCGTTAGCGAAACCATTTCTGTCAAAAGCGAAGCTGTCAGCAGCCAGGACATACAGAGGTGGATGACGAAGGAGTGACCAGAAATATTTGCAAAATTTTCTCCCGCGGATATCTTCAATGCCTGGCGAAACGTGTAGACGGACACAGTGGTTGACTGCTTCTGCAAGGCGGGCTTCGAGACGGCGGAACGGAAACTGGTGAAGAAAACGACGAGCGCATAGACGATGCGCTTTGCGAGTTATGATAAGACCGAGACTAGCATCTTCAACGTTTTAAAAACAAAGGAGGCCAAGGTTAGCGATTTTTTTTTCACTCTAATAAATCATTCTGTTCTAGTGTGTACGCAGAATTAGTTGTCATTCTTCAATGCACCTATTGTAGGTGATGATCCGTTATAGGTAAGCTCTCGGGGCTTCTATTTTCTTTTATATCCAATTTTTCATATACCGAACTAATTTGCGATTCCCTTCGAGTTCGATATATCCGTGTTTGGAATGCCGTGCAGTAGCGTCCTTATTAGTCGTGTAAATATTGCCGATGCTCTTTTAATCCCATAAGGCATATACAGAAAACAGTAGTGCTCAGATTGCGTTGACAAAACTGTTTTCACACGAAAACTCCCCTCTAAGGGTTATTGCTGATAAGTGCAGTGTCAAAACGTGTTCAACGTCATACCGCACATGTCGGCGATCTTGGCCCCCTTGTATAAGCTGCTCGAAAAAGAGCATAAATGGAAGTGGGGTGCAACTCAAGAAAATTCTTATCTAAAGACAAAACGAACGCTTCTCAGCTCACCCCTGCTGGCATATTTTCAGCCCGACCAACCAGTGCGGTTGGAATGCGATGCATCACCGTCGGGTTTAGGTGCTGTCATTTCGCACCGAATGGGCAACGCCAATAAGCCCATCGCTTTCCGTTCATTCACACTGACACGTGCGGAAAAAAATTATTCGCAGCTCGAGATTAAGCTCTGGCGCTGGTGTTCGGAGTCTCAAAGTTTTGAGACTACCTGTTGGGCCGTGACTTTGTGCTGGTGACAGACCACCAACCACTTGTGGGCCTGCTACGAGAAGATCGACCGGTGCCTCCAATGGCGTCGGCGCGTATCCAGAGATGGGCTCTGTTTCTAAGTCAATACCGGTACCGTAGCGAGTACAAGGCCGGGAAATAAAACGCCAATGCAGACGCACTTATCCGTTGGCCAGTGCTGACACCAGAAGTTGTTCACTCCGAAACCTTGCCAAAATACGTGCTGTCTACGGAGCAGCTTGACAGTACGTACGTGCCAGCGGATGCTTTAAAGGCGCTTACCAGTGCGAACAAAGATCTTTGTATTGTCCAAAACTTCATACGAAATTGATGGCTGGAACACCTCTCACCATGTCACAGTCATCTCCAACCATATTTTTGCAGAAGACTGGAACTGTCGAGCGCCGAAGGTCTGCTCTACTGGGGTCATCGAGTTATCATACCCAGCAAGGCACGGGAGCCCATGCTATCAGAGTTACATCGGTCACACCAGGGAGCATCGGGGAGGAAAAGACTGGCTCGGACGTTGTTCTGGTAGCCAGGGCTGGATGGTGAGATTGAAAGTCTCACTCTTTCATGCATGCCATGTGTACAAGCTCAAACAATGCCGCATCGTCAGGAGCCTATCAGTAGGCCAGAAACAGGGATAAAGTGGTCACGGCTTCACATTGATTACGCTGGGCCGATAGAGGGGCGCATGTTGCTCATAGTCGTCGATTCGCACACGAAGTGGATCGAGGCCCTCCCAGTCGGATCAGCAACTTCCAAAGTCACAATTACACGTCTTCGCGAATTATTCGCGCATTTTGGTTTGCCTCAAACTGTAGTGTCTGATGACGGGCCCCAGTTCATGACAGATAACAGCATAACGCTTCTATGCAGTGCCCCTTACCACCCGCAATCAAATGGCCTTGCGGAACGCGCAGTTCGCACTATCGGGGACGGTCTAGTTAAACACTCAATGGTAAACGGCCTCGAAGTTAAACTAGCACATTTATTGCTAGGCTACCGACGCACGCCTCTACAGCGCGGAAAGTCTCCTTCGGAACTGCTGCTTAATTATCAAGTGCGTTCACTCTTGGATACTTGTGTGCCATGTTTATCTCGGAGTCATTCGCAGCCTTCCAGATTCCAGCCCGGAGACCCGGTGTGGGTGCGCAACTTTGGACACGGAAGGCGGTGGTGCCCAGCCGTCGTCAGAGGCTCTGAAGGTTCGCGCCTCCTGGAAGTCGACACACCAGAAGGCCCGACCCGGCGTCACTTAGACCAGATTCGTCCGCGAATGTCAACCGGGGCTCCAAAGGCGGACACTTCTGAATCGGTACCGCCCAGCCACGACAACGCGGAGCAGCAAACGTCACCACGGGAGCAGCTATTAAGCCTGGTCACTCCAGCACGCATGAACGCTGTTCCCGTTTCTTCTGCAACGCCACCAACATCTCTTCTAGCTGTGGCTGCTTCCCCAACTTCTCAAGTCTTACGAAGGTCTACCCGACTATGAAGGCCCGTGCAAAGACTCAATCTTTAAAAGAAAGAGAGAAGTCATAAGCAGTGCAGTGTCAAAACGTGTTCAACGTCATCCACTTGTGTTACGTCATAGGCAAGCCGCCTATATATATACTTATCCGGCTGCAAAATAAAGCGATTCTGCGTTGGTTCTCAGTCCGGCTCGGTCACTCAGGGCTAGTTACTACAATTGTCAGTAGCCTTTTTTAAGATCCAACTTTGAGAAAATTCGACCCAGAACGTGTACGGAGTGAAGAGCAGCGAACAAAGTAAACTCCACTAGGTTGGCGTCCTGTTTTTGCCTCGGCCCCGGCGCTCGAAGTCAATCCACGCTTGTCTCAGCGTCACATAGGATGGCAATTGATGGAACTTGCACCTATTGTCCCGTGTTCTATTGGTGCAAGACTTCACAGGGCAAAATATTGGTGCAATGACGATGAATACAAAATAAAACGATTACTTAGTTCTCTCTGACAAGTGTATATCGTGTATTCGCGTACACATACACTATTCCAGATCGCTTCATTGGTACACTGGATGACAGTGACCGTACGGCGCATTCAGACGATAGAGAAGGCACCGCGACAGCTGCCAGTTTTTGCGTTTTCGTGCTTGACGTTATCGCAACTAGCCAGAATGTTGCTTGCGTGAAGTCACAGGGATTAGTAATGTAGTCTGACGTCATATTAGTGTCCATGTCGGTAGGTGCGTCGCGAGAAATATGACTATGAAAATTTGTTTTTGCTAATTTAGTAATACGAGGCTGATTACTGAAAGTAAAAAATAAATGCTCAACTTTCTTTACTTCAAGTTCACTCCTTTGTGCGGTTACGTCAATGCAATGTCATGCTAATAATCCATCACGTTGGGCTGAAAGCCCCCCAGAGCTGGAAAAACGTACTTTTTGGCTACTTTAGGGTATCAATGTTGATAACATATTCTAAATTCAGGATTGGTAATCTTGAAGTTAATGTTGTCCTTGCAGGCACGCGTAAAAATCTGTCTTTTGCAAGCAAACTTTCAAGATGGCATTGCCACTCAGTTTATGTTCTTTTCACCCTTTCCTTTTTTTGCAATAAGCACCCCCTATAACTGTAAGAGAGGCTTGCAAACGTGTCGTAGTACTGTAGAGGTGTTATCTAACAATACCCACTTTACTCTTTCAGTGTCCCTTAGATCTTAGAACCTAATAACATATGTGCCAGGGGAGTGCACTTGATTGTGAAAATGGATTGGAAGATTAGGATATTGGTAAGCCTAGGATTAGAATTGCCTCATACATGCCGGTTTCAGGCAAGTTTCTAGGTGTCTAACTTTCACTGAGAGAAAAACTTTGGATAAGTAGACATACCAGTGATAAGCCTGTACGACTTCGAAATCGTCAGTGTGATGATGTTTCACCACATGTCTGCTGCAGATGGGAAACCAACCTTGGACTTCGTGATGCTGATGCATCAGACACATTGGCGCAAGGATGGCGAGAAACCTAAGAGCTTGCAAGAAGCCCTTGAAGAGCAAGAAAAGATTCGCGAGGAGCAGCGGAAAGAAAAGGAACGGCAGGCACAACTGGCGCTCCGCCTGTGACTGTTTTTTAGCACCCAAGTGGATAGGGTCTTGTCATGGCACATTTCTGGCTCCACCATTTGTGTGTTTGAGTACTCGCTCTTGTCTGAAGAGAGAAAAAGAAACAACACTTAAGTGCTCTCTCCTCATAGCCTCCGCCTTAACCGTCTGGTAGCGTTTCGTTAAGCTCACGTCAGGCACTAAGGCACTAATGGACATTCAGGCACTAAGGCACTAATGGACATAGGCAAGTGTCATATATGAACCTATGCTGTTGGTAGTATAACTCATCTATTAAGACTGTTCATGTCGGGAAAATGTCCCTCAGGAAAGAGTGTCTGTGCTTTTCCCGTCTTGATCGTTTTGCTGATGGATGACATTTATTGATCAAAGCCCGTATTTCATATATAATAAAGCTCATGGAGGTGCTTTTTTCGTACTGTATTTGCACTACTTGGCAAACTAAAATGGTATTAAGGGTAGATTTAAAACAAACACTCTGTGGAGAACGACTCTACGTTGATGAAAGCATAAGGAGTGGTCAAAGGAATTATAAAAAGAGTGCCAGACACCGTGCCTCTGGGGGGTTTTCGAGTGCTTGACATGTTTTTTTTTCATCATTGTTTTTGCATGTAGGTATTTTTTGTAATATGTGTGACTAGATTGGTCAAGTATATTAATTTTTTGCTATTTCCATTAGCTTCGATTGTAAATTTTACCATCCAAGATGAATTTGCAATACACACTGATATGCACAAATTCCTTCAATTTTTTTTTTTAAAAACCCCCGCAGGGACGCCTGCGCAAGTAGGCGTATGGTGTGTAGCGACACCACGGACTCGAGCTGACGGGGGAGTTTTGACTCCCTCCCACGCCTAGATGTGCGTGGCTTTGCCGTGTCCGGGGAAAAGGGGATCCTGGGGGTTGAGCCGACGCTTGGTGATTGGACCTTTAAGGCCCCCCGGCAGAGGCAACACACCCCTTTGGCCCTGGCTTCACGTAGACGGCACCCCCGGATTGACCCGCCTGGGGGAAATCGGCAGTCGCCTTTTCCTGTCTCCCCCTCACATCTTCGTCTTTCCTCTTACTTTAAATCTTTCCTATCCTCTACTCTCTTCCGTTGACTTCCGTGTTTCCTGGCGGCAAGGGTTAACCCTGTGTGGCTATCATACCTTGGATACACCATATTCGGTTATAGTGGTGGTGTACCGCTGGCGTCTGCAGGGCCTGTGCTTCCAGACCCTGCAGCGTCCCCTTGTAGGACTCCATGGTGGGTGGCTGGCACCACTGCCGAAAAGAAACCTTTTCTTATGGCTAGTTCCTTCCCCCCACTCCCTGATCGCCCTCATAAAAGGGGGCGCACCGATGAAGTCTTCCAGTTTTATGGTCACCAGAGAGTATCCTTTCCCCGATTTCACGTTGTCTACGCTGACACACCCGGCAAACCAGTGAGAACAATTTCACCTTTTCTTGTTTCGAAGTCTTTGACAGAAATCTTTGGCCCAGGATATAAAGCATCGAGAATGGCAAGTGGTGACCTCCTGTTGGAGCTCCGCGACCAGAAACAATATGAAAAATTGTCTAATCTAGTGAAATTTGGAGATACCAAATGAATAGTAACCCCACACCGAACCATGAACACCACCCGTGGTGTTGTCTCAGATGATGACCTGTTAGGGCTGACGGAGGCTGAACTCCTGGAGGGTTTTAGCGAACAGAATGTCATCAACGTGAAACGAATTAGGATGAGGCGTGATGGCAAAGAAATCCAGACTAAGCACATGATACTTACTTTCAATTCAAGTGTACTGCCCGACTCTGTTGAGGCTGGGTACATCAAGCTTCGAGTGAGGCCATATATACCGAACCCTCTCCGATGTTTCAAATACCAGCGGTTCGGCCACAGTTCTCAGAACTGCCGAGGCCGCCTAACTTGTGCGAAATGCAGTGCTGACGAACACACATCTGATGCCTGTGAAAACTCTCCTCACTGTGCGAATTGTAACGGGGAGCATGCCGCATACTCACGGTCATGCCCAAGCTGGAAGAAAGAAAAGGAAATTGTCACGATTAAAGTAAAACAAAACATTTCATTTAAGGAGGCACGAAGGCTGGTGTCCTACCTGCCAGAAACCAGTTTTGCCGAAGTGGCGCGTCAGGGGGCAGTGCCACGACGGCCCCCGGCGCCTGTCTGGCACACGCGTAGTGAGCCAGCGGTGACGCCATCCGCCCCCTCGGCGGTTGCAGCCAGTGCTGCTCCGCCATCCAAGAAAGACCCACCAACCTCCGGGCTGGGGGCCGCGAAGGTCTCGTCCTTTGAGGCGAGGCCCTCAAAACAAATGCAGCGCTCGCAAGAGCGCGTGTCCAGCGCCTCGCAAGAGGCAATGGACACAACACCGAGCGTGAGGGCGCAGCCAGCGCCTAAGGATCGGCGCGACTCTGTCGACCGATCCAAAAAAGAAAAATCTCGTGTCACGGCCCCTGGAAAGGGTCCGTGAGCTTACTTTCCATCCTCGAGCACAGAACACGAAACACACCTAAAATGGACACACAAATACTACAGTGGAATGCCAGAGGCCTATTTAATAACCTAGATGATATCAAAGACTTGCTTAATGACTATCAGCCAAAAGTGTTCTGTGTTCAAGAAACTCATTTAAAGTCGACTCATGTGAATTTCTTAAATCAATATGTGGTTTTTCGTAAAGATCGAAATGGTGGCAATTTCTCTTCTGGAGGTGTGGCCATCATTGCACAAAGAAGCGTAGCATGCCAGCACATTGTGCTACAAAGCTCTCTTGAGGTTGTGGCTGTTCGCACTATTCTATTCAACCGTCTTATATCTATCTGCTCGATCTATATAGCCCCTGACGAACCATTCAATAAAACAGAGTTCGAAAAGTTTATTGATCAGCTTCCAGAACCATATGTGGCAATTGGAGATTTTAATGCTCACAGTTTGCTATGGGGTGATACCAAATGTGATGCGAGAGGTCGTGCAATAGTAAACTTTCTTCTCGCATCTGGAGCCTGCCTGCTCAATAAGGCAGAGCCAACATACTTCAGTACCACACACAATACATATTCATGCATAGATTTAGCCATTGAGTCACCGTCACTCTTGCCTTACTTAGATTGGAAGGTTATTAATAATCCATATGGAAGTGACCATTTTCCAACTCTTTTACTAACAAAACAACGGGATGACCGGCCGTCTTATCCCAAAAAGTGGAACTTTCATGTTGCAAACTGGGTGAAATTCAGAGAGCTATGTACACTACACCTCGAAGAGGTAGACTATTTGGAAGTAGAAGAGATGGCCAACTATATTTCGGAATATGTTCTTACTTGTGCAAAAAAGTGCATACCGCAGTCCAGGAATGATAAAGTTAACGCAAAGCCATGGTGGAATCGGGAGTGTGAAATTGCTAAAAAACGACAAAACAAAGCATGGAGGGTTTTTTCTCGCTACCCAACAGCAGAAAACTTGATAACCTTTAAAAGTTGCAAAGCGAATGGAAGGCGTGTTCGCCGTATAGCCAAACGGGAAAGCTGGACACGCTATATATCCTCAATAAACTCCTACACAGACGTCAGCAAGGTTTATAATAGGGTGCATAAACTTGAAGGACAAGGCCCAAATCCCTTCCCTTTGGTGAATGACTGCGGTGATACAATAGAAGAACAGGCAAACGCTCTTGGCGAACACTTCGAGAAAATGTCAAGCTCAGAAAACTATACCACTAAGTTCTTACGCCACAAAAGCATAGCTGAAAGTGTACCTCTGTGCCGGAACAAGCCTCGATCAGACGGATACAATAAACCACTAACAGTATATGAACTGAAGCTCGCCCTTGGTTCCTGTGGAAGTTCTGCTCCTGGTTCTGATACAATTACTTATGAAATGATCAGAAATCTCGCTGATGAAACCCTGAACTGCCTTTTAGCACTTTACAACAAGATTTTCAGTACCGGCAAAATACCCTCTGCTTGGAAAGAGGCAATGGTACTACCAATCCTTAAACAGGGCAAAGATCCCTCTTCGGTAAATAGTTACAGGCCTATCGCCCTCACAAGCTGCCTACTCAAAGTGTTTGAAAAAATGATTAACCGCCGCTTGGTCTATTACTTGGAATACAATGGCATATTGGACCCGTGCCAGTCTGGTTTCCGTACAGCTAGATCCACAACCGACAATCTTGTCCTCCTCGAGCCGTATATACGTGACGCGTTTGTACACAATCAATACTGTCTGTCTGTTTTCTTCGATCTTGAGAAGGCATATGATACTGCCTGGCGATATGGAATCTTGCAAGATCTACTGTCTTTCGGTATATGTGGCAGGTTGATTACCATCTTAAAAGATTACCTGTCTGAAAGGAAGTTCCGTGTAAGAATAGGTACTGTGTTATCGCGCACATTTATTCAAGAAAATGGAGTGCTGCAGGGAGGAGTATTAAGCTGCACACTATTTATAGTTAAAATGAACTCTCTTCGCTCTGTTATTCCACCTGTGATATCGTACACTCTATACAGGGACGACATTCAAATTAATTTCAAATCGTGTAACTTGACTGTATGCGAACGCCAGATACAGTTAGGTGTTAACCGACTTGCAAAATGGGCTGACGAGAATGGTTTTAAGTTTAACACTGACAAGACTACTAGTGTGCTGTTCTCAAGATGACGAGGTGTGCATCCTGACCCCTGCATACTAATGAATGGACAAAACATAGTCATCGCGAAAGAACAAAAATTCCTCGGTGTAATTTTTGATTCCAAACTCACCTTCATCCAGCACATAAAACAGCTGAAGTTAAAATGTCTCAAGACCATGAACCTTTTAAAGATTTTATCACATCAGTCGTGGGGGACAGACAGGCACTGTCTCATATCTCTGTTTCGAAGCCTGGTTCTGTCACGCATAAACTATGGATGCATTGTATATCAGTCAGCTTTAAGGACAGCACTGAAAATGTTGGACCCTGTATACCACCTAGGTATCCGGCTGGCACTTGGTGCCTTCCGTACCAGCCCTATTCAAAGTCTTTATGCAGAGTCAGATCAGTGGCCACTAGACTATCAGCGCACGTATCTAGGAGTCAACTATGCAGTTAAGATCATGTCTCTGAAGCAGCACCCATGTAAAACACTTATGAACGATGTGTTTACTACCCAGTTATACCTAAACCGTCCTATCGCCCCACCGTTTCCATTGGCAATAAGACCTGCAGTAGAAAAACTTGCAATTTTCTTCAATGACTTGGAGGAAAGTGACCATGTCGAACACATCCCTCCCTGGCAGCAATGTCCAGTCACTTGTGACTGGTCTTTCAAAGACATCATAAAGGAAAATTGTCCAAGTGCACTTATTGAGCAACATTTCTTGGCCCTTGAACACAAATATCGTTCAACCGCGTTCTTCTCCGATGGCTCAAAATCTCAAACATCTGTATCTTGTGCAGCCTATGGACAAAAGTTCTCGGACACCAGAACCATGCATACACATACCAGCATTTTCACAGCGGAAGCCTATGGTATCCTGCTTATTATACAACACATTAAACAACACAAGATACAAAAGTCTATAGTGTACACAGATTCTTTAAGTGTTGTCAGGGCCCTGTCTTGTGGCAAGTACAGCAAGAACCCTACTTTCAACAAGCTCCTTAATGAAATCTATGCAGCCTACAACTTAAAACTTTCTATTGTTATTTGCTGGGTTCCAGGTCATTCTGGAATTGTGGGCAATGAAATAG